ATTCCAGACAAACTTTATGATTGTCTTTCCTAGATCTGTGAAGAATTTGTCTGGTACTTTGATTGGCATTGCATTAAATAGGTAGATTAATTTGGGTAGAATTACCATTTTGATTATATTAATTCTTCCAATCCAGGAACATGGGATGTCTTTCCACTTTTTTGTCATTTTCAATTTCTTTATCTTCTCATAGTTTTCCTTGTGGAGGTCTTTAACTTCTTTGGTTAGATTTATCTCTAAGTATCTTATACTTTTTGTGGCTATGGTAAATGGAACAACTTTTTTCAGTTCTATCTCAGTCTGCCTGTTGTTCATATACAGAACTGCTATAGATTTCTGGATATTAATTTTGGTTCCTGCAACGTTACTATATTCATGTATTACTTCCAGAAATTTTTTATGGAAACCATTGGGTCTTCCATGTATACAATCATGTCATCTGCAAATAGAGAGTGTTTCAACTCTTCTTTTCCTATTTGAATGCCTTTTATTTTTTCCTCTTTTCTGAGTGCAATGGCCAGGACTTCCAGTGCTATATTGAACAGGAGTGGAGAAAGTGGACATCCTTGTCTTGTAGCCGTTTTTAGTGGAAAAACTTTCAGCTTTTCTCCACTGAGGATGATGTTCGCTATGGGTTTTTTCATAGATAGCTTTTATTGTGTTAAGAACCACAATTTTATGATGGTAACTCCCAAATCTACACTCTCAGATTTTTCTTAGTCCTGAGCAACTATCTTTCATCTTAGCAAAGACAGCAGATAATTCCTTCTTTGTGGTTGTTTGGACTTTAAAAACAAACAAACAAACAAACAAGAAAAAAACTAGTTGCAGAGAGATTTCAGTTAGGTGGGATATTATTGTTTTAATAAACATTTCCACCAGTCTGAAATCATTTACCTAATGACCTCTCAACTAACTTCTGTGGAGCTTTTACTCTATACAAAACATGGCATGGCATTATGTATAATGAGAGACACAAAAAGTGCTAAAGCAGGTTGGTCTCTGAGACCTGAAAGTTGACAACTCCTTTGCATCTGGGAGGCTGCTCTCCATGACTCTGCAGCCCTCACCATGCCACAAAACGAATATATTGAATTACATCTTAAATGCTATGGATACCATTTGGATTAGCATGAGAAAAAAAGAAAGAAGGAAAGTCAGGAGGCTCATGAATGTTCAAAGAAGGCAAAAAAAGATGATTGGTCTGAAGGCTGAGCTCTATCATAAACAGAGTCATGTTGAGAAAATACAAATGAAAAAGACTGTCAATATGCATGAAAAGAGGAATACTAAGCAAAAGAATGATGAAAAGTACAGACATAGAGCATTGATGGGATGGGGAGGTGTGGTGTTATCTGTTAAAGATACTTTGATCAACGGGTCTGGGGAGAAATGTGCACATATCGAAATGGTCTCATTGTAAGTCAAACAATATGATTGAAAGTATATACAAAAAAAATAATAAATAATGTGGAAAAAGACTCCTCAAGGAGCAGTACCTGCCTATCTGTTGGACAGAGGACAGTCCAGAGCTAAAGTACTTTCCAATATGATTAAATAAAAATGGAAAGAGAGAGCAGGAAAATGGGAAGTACCTCTACCCAAAGTTTGAGCCCAGAGAGAAACAGAAGTATTAAAAGTTATTCGAACAGGAAAGAAAAAAGGCATGGAAGAGGTTGGTTACAAAAGTTTGCTTTTTTGGAGATGGCTTTACTAGAAAACCACTTAAATATGAAAGATTCATTAGGTCAATGGGCTTACGTTTCAAGAAGGCCCACGTAACACATCCTGAACTGAAAGCCACCTTTTGTCTGCCAATACTTGGTGTAAAGAAGAATCCCTCATCTCCACAACATACAACTTTGGGTGTTATCACCAAAGGTACTGTCATTGAGGTGAACGTGAGCGAGTTGGGCTTTATGACACAAGGAGGCAAGGTTATTTGGGGGAAAATATGCCCAAGTTACCAACAATCCTGAAAATGATAGATGCATTAGCACTTAAATTTGTTTTTGTATGTTTTGTAGACAAAGACACAGAAAAGTACAAAAAATAAGTCCTCTTTTGCAACCCAGAACTCATTGTTTAGTATGAGTTTTGATACATATAAGAAGGAATATTTTTTAAAAATGAGAGATGCATAAATGCTGTCTTACTGGTTTGATAGCAGTTGCATACAAATAACTCCTTGTAATTTTTGAAGGTGAGACACCAATCTGGAAAACCATCATGACTGATGTTTCTGAATATAGCCGATCTTACATGTCTGCAGTCATCAAAAGATTATTTATTAAATTGTACAAAAACATTAAATTGGCCTGGTTTCACAAATACACACACACACACACACACACACACACACACACACACACAAAGTGCTAAGCACACCCAGATCCCAAAAGAAAAATTGTTCATCTAGCTAGTGTGAGACACCATTTTGAAAAGACACCAAGTATAGTATCTTCACAGTGTAGAAACCTCCCAAACGAGTACCTTAATTAAATTACTAGGATTAACACCAGCAGCGAGAAACCAGGCTAACAACATGTACTCCTGACATGGTGTGACAAAACCACCTGTATGGTACTTTTCCCCAAAACCTATAACCCCAAGCTGATCATGAGAAAATCCATCAGTCAAAACCAAATTGAGGCACATTCTGTAACATACCCAACTAGTATTCCTCAAAAGCATCCAGGTCATGAAAAACTAAGGAAGGCTAAAATGTCATAGACCAGAGAACACTAAGGAGACATGACAACTAAATGCAGTGTGGTACCCTGGACCCTGGATTGGATGCTGGAACAGAAACAGGGCTCTAATAGAAAAACTGATGGAATCCAAATAAAGTCTGGAGTTCTAGTTAAAAATAATGTTCCAATGCTTTGTTCTTAAATTTGACAAATGGTACCGGGATGAAGTAAAATGATAACATTAGGGGAAACTGAAACTTGGTTAGGGCTATACAGGAACACTCTGTACAATGTTTACAATGTTTACAAATTTTCTAAAAATCTAAAATTATTCTAAAATAAAATTTATTTTAACTTTATAGAACAAGTCTAAAGATCTAGTAATGTATAGTATGAGAACAATAGACCACAATAATAAAATTTTAAAAATAATAGAAGCCAATTACATTATGTAAATTTCATCCAAGTATGAATTTTTATACACACACAGAGCCACCCTTATCCACGGGTTCTGCAAATGTAGATTCAACCAGGAATCAAAAATATCTGAAATGAATTAATGAATAATTGAGGGCCAGCAGTTGGTGTGGAGGTTAAGGCAGCTGGATCCCACATGGCTGACTGTGTGGTTTGAGTTCCAGACCCAGCAGCCTGAACAAACACACCAGGCTTGCATGCATGCATGTCCAAAATCCTGAGAGAAGAACGGAGGAAAAGATAATACAGTGTGACCATCCCCCTTAGGGGGTGATTTCTCACTTTCTCTGTCTTTCCCTTTCTCCCTCCCTTTCTCATTAAAAACTTAGTATGTATAATATGTACAACAAAATATACAAAATTTTAAAATACAATGTAACAACTATCTTACATAGCAATTACATTTAGTAGGTATTACAAGAAATCTAATGAAAAGTTTACAGAGAATGTGCATAGGTTATACGCAAATACCACACCATTTTATAAAAGAGAATGGAGCAGTCATAGATTTTGGTATTCATAGAGGTGATAAAACCAATCCCCCTCAAAGACTAAGGGATGACAGTGTTTAGGAAAGGGGGGAGAAGAGAAAGGGAGACAGAGAGAGAGAGAGAAAAACTGAGTGAAAGATGTCAGTATGTGGTATAGAAACTTTACAAAGACTACAGTTAGGTGGTATCTTATGAAACTGCCAATATTTGACCTTTCTGACATAGTAAACAGTATTTTCATATGACTCAACCTAATAAGTCACTGTGGACAGGGAAGATCTCAAGATGAAATGGAGCTTATGCTGGGCATGCAAGGAAGTGAAATGGAAGGACACATTACAGGAAAAAGGAGAGAGAGCATAAGCACCATGCAGTCAGGGAAAGGAGAGAGACCTTCCTGGAAACGTTGGCAGGAAAGTGACAGAAGGAAGGGCTTTGTGCAGGAAAGGATATTAGGAATACAAGGGAGCCAGTCTCTGAATTTAAATTCATCAAACAAGCCTGGGACTAGCAGGTAGCATGGAGGTTAAGGAGGCTGGATCCCACATGGCTAACTTGGCAGTTTGAGTACCAGATCCAATGGGTTGAAAATCACACTTGGGGACCAGCAGATGGTATACTGGTTACATCATTAGACTTCCACATAGTCAATGGTGGTTCAAGTCCCTGACCCAGTAGCTTAAAATTCACAGCAGGAGCATGTGCATGTATGCCCAAAATCCTAAGAGGAGAATGGAGGAGAGGAGATTACAGCATGGCCATCCTCCTTGAGGGTAATTTCTCACTTTCTGTCTCTGTCTCTCCAGTGAGCATCCATACCCACTAACAAATTTTTTTTTAAAGAGAGGAGAGGAGAGGAGAAGAGAAGAGAGGAGAGAAATCAAATCACACTGGGCATGTCTGCATGCCCCAAATCCTTAGAGAGGAATGAAGAAGAAGGGACTGCAGCATAACCATCCTCTGTCTCTATCTGGTGAGCTCACATTCCCCATACAAATAAATAATAAATAAATAAACAAACAAAAAGAGCCTGGCTTTCCCAGTGCCCAGGAATATCCACTGGAAAGAACTGTTGCTGCTAGGGACCCTGACATGTGAGCTAGTCCTACTGCCTCAATGACTGCACTTTGAGGCCCCGAGTGCACTTCTGGCATAATGGGAAGATCACTGAACTATAAATTGGCAGATCTAAGTCCTAATAATGGCTCTGCCACTAATGGGGTGAGAAACCCTCAACAAGCCCCTTACTCTGTCTCCATCTCAGATTTCTGCCCCAGAGAGGAGGGGAGCTGGATGAGTTGCTCACCGAGGCCCTTCCAGCACTAAAACACTGACACAGAATGAAATATGTTTCCTGGCTCTGTGAAGCAACATGTGGTTCATTCAAGTACAGAGAATGATGCAAGGGCCGTGAAAGCAAAAACACTGAGAATAAAAAGACTGTGTTTTTATACACAAGAGTCTATTCTTTTATGATACATGTCTAGACCCCTCTAAATATTTAAACAACAATATTGTACCAGTATGAAAACTCTCTAAATCAGGCTCTGTGGTTAAGGAGGATATATGAACAGATGTGATCTTATTAAGGCTCTAATGTAACTCAAAAACAATTTGTCATATCTGACGGGTATTGTTAAATTATGTCCACCTGCCAGAGGCAACCGAAGAAATTACCAACTGCCTTTCTTCTACTTCTACTCAAAATGCTCTACAAAGCACCCATAGATGTATCCAGGATATGTATTTTTTAAAGCAGTAACCTAATTGTCACCAACATATAACAGCCAATGTCTCGCAATTCCTTTCCATGGATATTTTATTACGGGGCCCAACTGTTTCAACACCCTAGTGGCTCAACTTTAATGTAGCTCAGGAAACCCCCTAAGTAATATCACAAAATGCTTAACATCTGTGAAACTTGGACCCACAAAAGGTTCCAATTTTTTTCTTTGGGTTGGAGGAGGGGCACATGGGAGTGCCATGCAGGCCATGGTTTTCATTACCAATAGTGTTGGAGCTTGGGGTTTTTCGTCACCACTTACCAGGGAGGAAGAGGTCTTCCAGTTTAGTTTCTAAATGCCCAGAACTATTTCAAACCATGATAATCTTGCTTACTTGGAGTCAGTTTAAAAAGAAATCCATTTCCTTTTCTTTCTCTAAATATTTGCCTCATCTCTCCTTCTTATATTACACTATTTTAATTAAGAGAAACAATGAAGAGAGTGAGGGGAAATATGAAGTGTGAAACATGTGGCATATTCCCTAAGGTATTTCAAGACTTTTCGGAGCTCTTTGGTCTCCAGTGGTGTTTGAAATATTCTTTATCCCACTAAGGAAAGGATGAAAAATTGATCTCCTTCAAACTTCAAATACTGCATATTTCCACAACTGCAGACTGCAGGAAAGAAAGGCAGGCTTAGGAGTTACCAGACCAAACAGGAAGCAGTTCTCAGAGGACCCGCAGCTCATCCCAGGCAACTCCATGAGCAGACTGTGTACACAGAGCCTCTAGGAGAATCAACACAGGCTCCACTTCTAAAAGAAATCAAAGCAAATCTCTGAGAAACTGAACGTGAAGTCAGACCTCAGTAATTTGGATTGACTGGAGGGAAGGTCAAGTTGGATCAGGACAAAGCCTTGATGGTAAAGTTTTTTATTTTCCCACTAAGTGCAACTACATTCAGTTCAGTGTTTAACCCACCCAGCCCTCCAGCCTTGTTTCCCAGTTCCCTTGTGCATGAACCACAGAGGACTGCTCACTAGTTGGTCCTATGCAGACCATAATCTTCCTCACCTTCATGCTTCTACTCATGATTCTCCCCTTTGGAAATGCCGCATCTTTCACTGGCTACTTGTCAAACTCCTCAGTGTTCCAAACTCTATCTCAAATGTCACTTCCTAAGCAGAACAAACAGCGTGGATCCCTATGATCTCATGCATATACATCATTCAGAGAAGAAAGTGGCCTTACCACTAGTAGAGTGCTAGTAAAATTACCTGGAGAGGTCCGATGGTGGCACAGTGGCAAAATGCAATGTTCTGAGAGACAATCCCACATGGGAAGGTTCTGCTTCCAAAAGATTTCCAGAAGACTTGCCTGTGACCTGGGACTGGCTGAAGGCTGAGCTGGATTACAACATCAAGACTATGTTGAGAAGTGCTTCCTAATGTGCACATGCATGTATGTTCATTCTCTTTCTCTCTCCTTAAACATGCTAGCTTAAAATCACCTAAAATCCCCATCTCTACCATTTCTCACCAACTTGGTATGGGGCACTGTCTGAGCACTGGCATCTTTGTTAAAGCTTTTCAGGTCACAACGTGGAGTCTGAGCTTTGCACCTTCAGTATAGAAATTAGAACACTATTCAGAATAATTCATGAGTATGTCAAGAAGAGAGAACATTCAGTGAAGGTTTTCTGTAGGCAGGGATGGAGTATGTGAATCCTTCAAGGGA